GATCAATTTCACAGACTGCAGACCCCCCGATGTGAGCGCGTGTATGTCCTGCTGTCTTCTAAGAGTAGACAGATTTATAATCTGCGGCAGACAGCAGCAGGTGGGCTCTGCACACTTTGGGTCTGTGTGTGTGGGTGTGTGTGTGTGTGTGTGGGTGTGCACATATATGTGTTTGTTGTCTGTCGTCATTTACCCCCCCCCTTTACTGCTGTCTGGGGCTTTAGCTTGTGAAACACCTGTTCATGCCGTCATACTCATACACTTCCACCATATAGGTAGGTAATTACACAGTAACAATTGCACAGACAGTGAACAAAGCATGGGGACAATATTGTTTTTGAACAATTTTGTGTACAGTTCCTATCTTAGTATGTAAATCCTTTATGAAATTATTTACAGTGAGATTAATCCTTTATGAAATTATTTACAGTGAAGTGTAATACACACTCATTGTTTCCTTTCACCCACAAACTTGTGATTTATGATAAAGCATCATAACATCTAAATGTGGTGTTTGACGCACTCCTAAAAAATGTTTAAAAAAAGATTTATTTGACACAAACATACCCAGTCTTCAGCTTGTTAGGACAAAGCTCATAAGTGTTCCTGCGTGGCCTCTTGTGCACTGCCTTATTAAAGGGGGTGCGTGGGGTAGCAGGCCTCTGGGCATGTGCTTTGGGAGTGGTGTGAGCATTTTGTGTGTGTGTGTGGGGGGGGGGGTCATTGCCATTGTGGTTGAGCTTGAGCGTGCTGTGCGGTACAGTAGCTTGGACCCCCACCCCATTGACCTCCAACCACCCCACACCCACCCTTCCCGCATCTCCAACCACCCCCCATATGGCAGGAGGCAACAGTAGTAATCATGGAAGTGGAGCAACAGGCCCTGAGCCTCGCTAATCCTCGGCCACACTCCGACACGTGCCACAGCGATGCATACACCCAACCACACACACACACACAACAATTAAAAATGCCATCCAGGCACACATTGATGTAAACACTTAATAGCATGTAAAAACTCATAGAGCAGAGCAGAACAAGAAACGTAGTTGCATTTTTAGCTGTACGCGTTTGCCACAGCCAACCTCACAGGTCCAGCTTTGAATTAGGTGCAATGAACCAAACACAAACAGACAAAAAGAAAACACATCCTCCAACTTGGAAACAGTGACAGAGGCAAAAATGCACAAGTCAATTCATCCACAATAATAAAAAAAAGAGTTATGAAGATGGATTTCATGGATTTCATATTCGATTAACTTTCTAAAATCCACCATCTTTTTTTGATCTGCAAAAAAAAACAACACATTGGCCTCATGCACATAGTGTGTGGATGAGGCCAAGGTGTTTTCACGGGCACGGACCCACTCCAACACGTACACGCACAAAAACCTTTTTAACTGTGACGCACAAGGAGACGGGGCCACAATGGCTCTCTTATTGTTAATTGGCCCTTTAATCCTGAGGAATGCGTGTGATTAGAACCCGCCGGTGGGTCGGGATCTTGCTCAACACTCCTGGTCACAATGGGTGCGCTGTAACGGAGATCTGCTGGGGAGCACACACACACAGTTCCGAGGGGACAAAGGTCGTACATGTAAACCTTTGCAGCGCACGGATCGTGCAAAGTAACACTCGGTCAAGCCTTATTGCATTTGCGTGGCGACTCGTGGAGGCCAGAAAGACACACTCTGATATAAAAAAAAAAGACCACACATGCAGAGCAGTAAAAACAACCTGCAATTAATTATAGCGTTATGATTATAACAAGAATTGGTACTAATTGCAAAACAAAAGCAAGTTTTTACAGATGCAGTCAAAAGGCAGTAAACTCAAATGATTTGAAGGTCCAGAAAGTCATTTTAGGGGAAAAAAAGATCTGAAACATCCCACAGTCCCCTGAACATCAACCACTCTAAAATAATTAGGGCTTTTCTGGTAGTTTAGTCTTAAGTTGCCAGGTTAAAATGCTTTTTGCATTTTTAACTTTATTCCTAGAGTCCTACTTTTGGGGCAGATAATGCAACAATAATGAAAAGGTAAAAGGTGCTTCACTCTGGTTTTAATGTCAAGCACAACTCTTGTCTACGTTGAATGAGTTCTTCTAGTGTTTACGGTCAAATAGATGAGTCTGAAGAGCCTGAAGATGCTGTCACGCTGTTGGCAATTTAGCTAAAAGCCTAAAAATAGACCAAGGAGAAAAGGTTTACAGGACAGACAGAATGGTTACAGGTAGACAGGAAGGCACTACGTGTGTGTGCGTGTGTGTGTGTTCTGTAGGAGGTCCAGCCAGGCTGCATCACTGCTGACACACTGCTGCTGGTAAATCCAGCTTAGTGTGTCTAAAACAGGCCCACGAAATCTGCCACAGGGCAACTAATGCTAGGGCTGCTGTCACCCTCAATCACTCACACACACACCTAATCCCCACGCTGTGACCCAACACAGACACACACACACACCACACACACACACCACACCACACACATACAGCCTCGCTCCCCAATTCTGTGGGCCCATTTGGCAGGCCAGTGCCAGTACCAGTAGACACCAGGCACGGGGTCGACATTTCATGGGGGGGGGGGGGGGGGGGGGGGGGGG